TCTTTGAAAACTCACACATTTCTCTGAAAATTTTCTCATTCAAAGTTATTTGGCAGCTAAGACTTTGTCCAGGGAGCACTCTGGAGCAGTTACACCACGCTGAGCCCACACAGGGATGTCCACAATTTTGTTGAACTGTCCGGGTCTGTGTATTACCTTCACTGGGATTTGTCAGTGAAATACGGTTTTGTGTAGACAGGTAAAATACTGTTTGTCGATTTCTTTTCCTTTGCTAACCCAGGAGTCTTAAACTTTATTATCTGGTCTAAGATGTTCCTAAATAGAGCCAATAGATTTAAAAAACTTTTCTCAATTGATGAAATTAAAGTCTGATTTTTTTGGGGGAGAGGTGTCTTTGAACTCTCATTAAAATTCTTTTTTTTTTTTCATTAAAATTCTTTAACTTTGCAATAAAACTTACAAAATAGTATCAAGTACATTACAAATAACCTTTTCCTAGCCTGTCTGGGAAAGAGTCATTTTCCTGATGACACATCACCCCCTAATATTTGAGTCCTTATTTCCTCCAAGCAAGGACACTCTATAGACAACAGTTCAGTCGTTAACATCAGGAAATCAACAGAAGTTCCCACCACCTAGTCCTTGGCCTCCTTTCAGGTTTCACCAATTGTCCCAGTAATGTTTACAGTAAAAATGATCCAGTTCAGTTTATTTAGTTGTTTTATTAGTCTCTGCAGTTTTTTGGTCATTCTTTGACTTTGGTGACCTTGGCACTTTGGAAGCCTGACTATAGGCCAGTAATTTTATAAAACAATTTGGATTTGTCTGATGCTTCCTCATGATTACATTCAGGTTTTACATCTTTGGCAGAAATACCACAGAGGGATGCTGTTCCTTTTCAGCGCATTCCAGGGTGGAGGATCGAAATGGGAGGTGAGAATCCTCCCATTACAGATTTTTTTTTAAAAGATTTTATTTATTTATTTGACAGAGAGCTCACAAGTAGACAGAGATGCAGACAGAGAGGGAGAACAGGCTCCCCGCTGAGGAGAGAGCCCGATGTGGGGCTCGATCAAAGGACCCTGAGATCATGACCTGAGCCGAAGGCAGAGGCTTTAACCCACTGAGCCACCCAGGTGACCCCCATTACTGATTTTTATTTTGTTCAATTAAGGTGGTCTGCCAGCTTCTCTACTTTAAAACTATTCCTTTCCCCCTTATACTATTTTATAGGAAGGCGCTTTGAAACTATGTACATATCCAATTCCTTATTTAACCATTCATTCATATCAGCATAAACTTAGAATTTCCAATTTTATATTTTATATTTAATGATTTTATATTTTATATTTAATGATTTATAAGCCCTTATTTTGATGTCAGATTGTTTCAGATTTGCCCAGTGTAAATTCCTTTAAAGCTGGCTTCTGTGTCCTTTTGACATGCCCCCATCACTTTTTAACTACTTTCTTTCTTTCTGGCTCATCTTGTACTTTTCCTGCCCAGCCATGGAATCAGCCCTTTCTCCAAACAGTCCTGGCTCCTTTAAGTGGAGAATGTAATGCCTCAATCTGGATGCTAGATGTGTGCATTGTATCGGGGGAATGAGACTGCTGCAAGGCTCATTTAGTTGACAGAGCTAGGGAATGTTTGTGCATGCACACGCACATATTTTCCCACCATAATAGGCAACTTCTTATAATCTTAAAAGTTATCAAAGAGACTCCCAAGACAGTTAAAGTTTAAATCTCTAATTAGGCAGTATGAAGTTTATCTTAAATTTGGATTTATGTGCATGGATAAAGCCTCCCAGCATTAAAAACACTCATTTTACCAGTCTGCACAGAAATCATCAACATCGTCTGGGACCAATTTAACAAAACAAAAAAGGTATTACTTTTGAGTATTATTAATAGATACATTGTTACACCAGAAGACAGGAGACAACTCCAGAGTTGGATACAGTTGTGGGAGGGGCTGAAACTTTCCTAATTTTGGAGACTTTTTTTTTTTTTTTAAGATTTATTTATTTGCAAGCGAGGGAACAGTGGGCAGTGGCAGAGGGAGGGAGGGAGTCTCAAGAAGACTCCATGGTAAGCACAGAACCCAACGGGGGGCTCGATCTCATGACCCTGAGATCATGACCTGAGCTGAAACTAAGAGTCAGCCAGCTGCTTAACTGACTGAGCCATCCAGGTGCCCCGGAGACATTCTTTAAGGAAAAGAATTAGGTACAGGGTCTTGAAGGGGGACTATGAAAGTGGGGCGCCCTGAAGTTTCAGATTTTTCTTTTTTAGATTTTATTTTTAAGTAATCTCCACACCCAACACAAGGCTCAAACTCCCAACCCCGAGACCAAGAACTGCACTTTCCACCTAGTGAGCCAGCCAGGTTCCTTGCAGATTTGTTTCTTGAAGAAATTCTGAGTGCGGGTGCTTTGGCACAGAGCAGGCACACACAACTTAAGGTACTCCTGAAAAACTCTGCATCCAGCCTGTTCCTCTCCATACTAGGTCCTCAGCACATCTCTCTTAGAGACTGCTGACTGACCTCTGACTCATCCCACCCTAGAAAACAAGTCCTAATGATGTTCTGCTGTTCAGGCAAGAATGACACAGAATCCCAATAAGGTCTTATCATTTTAATTGACTTTAATGATTATTGCTCATCTGCAAGGATTAATATTGCATTCATTAAAAATCATTCAATATAAAATAAACTTGTTCTTCCCGAGTTGCTCTCCACATGCTCCCTCTGATGCCAGACATTTTCCCACAGTGCCCTTTGTTACATGGCTTGACAGAGATGGAGCCCTTACCTATTATTCCTATGGACACAGTAATAGATTGGGAGCAGGGGGCAGGCCAGAGGGCAGCGGGACCTGGGCCCCTTGCCTCCAGCAGAGCTGATGTCATGGATACCACTGTTGGCCAGGTTACCGCCCCTCCAGGATGGGGTGTTCTGATTGGCTGGTTCAATGCCCTGGGAAAAAGGGCTTGAACCCTTAGCATCTACAGAGAAGAAAGCATGGTCACACTGAAAAGAAGTGGGAAGGGGCTGGGTAGGGGAGAACCGGGAGAGGAAAAGGAAAAATGTTTTGGCAAGACTCTGCTAGAAGGCCGCAGAGTGAAAGCTTTCCTTTCTTATGTTTTTATGTCTGTCTCTCTGATCAATGGCAACAGAGAAATGAACATTGCTAGTACCTAGCACTAATGCTGACCCAACTTTGAAGTATCATCAGCTAGAACAAGTTGAAGATTTAGAATCCTGGATAATTATATACTTAAAGCTCGTGAGCATAAAGCTCATCGGACCATGCAGAAATGCCAGTAAGCAGGGTGCATGGCATGGGAATACATACCTCTCCAATCTTTGAGGGCCTTTCTAGGGATTCTTTCCGAGCATGAGCCAGGACACACTGATTACCTTCTCTGTGCACAAACTGCCCCTTAAGATCTTGGTTCATAAACTTTTTGTGACACGTGTCAATTAAAAGAGGTACCACTTCTGTAAAACTAACGTTATACATGGGGCCTAAAGTCCCAGACCAGTTACATGGAACTACATTTCCCTCACTCTGGCCCAATTTATCCTTTCCCTCCCATCCACATCTACCTCCCTTTAAATATTTTAGGTTGCAGAAGCACAGCTGACCAGAAATTTGCTCTTAAAGGATAAATCCTAAAGATAGAGCTCAGTGTTTTAGACTGAGTAATGGCTCAAGAAATTCGCCTTCAGCACAAGCTGTATGGGGCAGAGCTGACAGAATTTGCCATTATGGCCCCAGTTCATTGAAGCTATAAACTATGGGCTAGAAACAAAGGGACTTATCAGAGTTTGAGGCCAGCTTTTCTCCAGACTCAACTCTGCACTCTCAGCTCCAAAGGTTCAAAAGAGAAACTGGGAATGACTAATCACCCAAGCAGTTCCTCAGTGTTAACACTCAACATTTTTCTTACCTTTTTTTTTCTTTCTCTCTTTCTCTCTCTCTCTCTCTCTCTCTCTTTTTTTTTTTTTTTTTTTTGTACAACAGAAATCAATGCTAGGGGACAAAATTAAACTTAATAGAGTGCAGTCTGGTTAAAAACTTGAAAAATGAGAAGGTCTGGTGGGAGTGGAGGAAGGGTTGTACTAAATCCAAGTGGACCAACTGGATCTTAACAGTACACATCTCTGAACCAGACACACCGCCTGCACACAGGAAACAGGGCTTGGAACACCTGGAGAAATGAGCATGCGCCACCTAACATCTAACCTACCTGGCTAGTGGGTGCCATCCCTGCTCCTCTGACAAAGTGAAAGAGCACTGATTTCAGCAGCTAAGAAATGGGCTCTTTTAAGGCAATTTAGACATTGCAGATTGTTCAACAAAGAAGGTACCTTAGCATTTCCTGTTAATAAGGTACCCAATTAAGACTAAAGTCCCCAGAAATGGGAAAGAAAGAATCACCTTTCTGGGCTGGGAGAGTAAAATCCTTCTTTAGTGACTAGGGTGAGGAACCTTGAACCTCAGTTTCATCTAAAGAGCCATGAAGCAAGTTCCTGTGTGGTCTGCAGAACTTGGACAATGAGATGAAGAAAACGAAAATGAAATTACAGAAAAAAAAAAAAAAAAATCAACAGGAAAGGAATAAGAAGAAAATAAACATTATCTTAAAAAATATTTCTTTTAGAGTTGTGTGGGACACGTGGACTGGTCCTTGGTAATATGGTCCATCAGTATCTGTAAAGGAAGAGACTGCTTGGTTAGCACTTGGGTCTTCCACATGAGAGATCCAAGAGAAAGATCAGAAACAGAGGATACTCCCCAGGGTCCCTCCCGGCCCCAGTGGGATCCCTACATCCATTCCTCATGGATCATTCTTCCCTCTGCTTCCATGGGGTTTCTGGCAATGCCATCTCTGGTTTCATTTCCTGCTCCCTGATAATATAAGCCAGTGGTTTTTAACCCTGACTATACATTAATCTAGGGAGCTTTTAGAAAATAAGTCTGGGCCCCATGCCAGACCAACTGTATTAGAATCTCTGGGGGTGAGGCCAAGCTTCCTGCTTCAAAATTCTAGAAAACCCTCACCCCTTACATCTACTAGATATACAATTTCTCTGCTACCATGTTAGTCTGGAGCAGAGTCCTGGTACTCTTCAAAATCAGGCACACCACTTTATTTAAGAAAGCTGGCTAACATGCTTTGTTTAATATTGGGTAAAAGAGCGTCTCACTTGTTTTCCCCCAAGTTACCTGTAATAATTGGGTTTGAATGGCCCATTTTTGTTGAGTCCCAGATATTTTGCTTGGTCATCTGTCAGCTCTGTCAGGTGGGCATCAAATGATGGCAGGTGCAAGCTGGCAACGTACTCATCTAGGAAGAACACAGTGGCAGGGGAACTCACTCCGTTTCAATCTGCCTCTCAGGGCACACCCTCCCCCTATTTTCATCTGAAGCTTTTTGAGGAGGACAAGGAATGGAATCACTGTGAAAGCACCTGTAACTCAAAATATTTGCTTAAAGAACCCTCAAAGTTGCCTTTCTGGCAGGGTACTTCTCTCTGTATATCCAGAATGCATTTCGAAAGCCATTTGCTAGGGTGACAAAATGGGTTAGACTTGTACCTCCCCATCCTTCTCTGGCAAAGCTTTTGGCTTTATCTCAGTGGCTAACATGCTACATATGACTCTCACCTTCCTGTAGCAACTTCCTTAACTGAATTACATTCAAACTATGAAACAAAGTAGATACCAATAGCTCAAAAGTAGTTTGTATCATTACGATTTCTTTAGAATAATATCCATAAAGGCCTCAAATCTTAGGATCACTGATTTCTAAGGCAGCTGGTGCAAACTGATTACTCTTCCATAGATAAAACTTCCCAGGCTTTACTTTTATGAATACGAATTAAAGAAAAAAAAAGTAATCTGAGATAAGCTGGTTGGAGGAGATGAGAGTGAGAAGTCTTTCAGCTTTAAAGAAGGGGTAAGGGGCTGACCAGTTATAGATGGGAGGTGGGTGCCACTATTCCAGAAGGGCAAAGAACCAGAAATGATGTAGTATGCCACATGAACACAACAGAGCTGTCCCCCAGATTATCAGGAGGTTCCATATTTACAGAGGATGGATGATAAAACCTAGATTTGTTTCTGTTTCTCTCATCTTGGTCACTGGCTATAGTCACTGGTGGTGGGAAGTTTACTGAACTCCATATGGCTACTAAGAATAAGAACATCTACCTTAAACCACTATGCTAAGCACTTTTACTCATCTGCTCTAATTCTTACTACAATCCTACAACGTATGTAACTATTACTCTCACATTATTGATAAAGATATTGAGGAGATTAGAATTGGTCCTGAGGCCCAGAAACCATGGAATGCTAGGATGCAGATTAGAACTCTGACTCTAAATCCAATACTTTCATTTTACCAAACCATGCAAAAGTCTGGGGCTCGGTACAGGCTCCTACTGTTTCTCACTCACCCATTTTCTTAGGAAGCAGGTATACATCTTGTTTGTATCGTCCCTCAGGTGCATTATACAGCTCTATCAGTGCCAAAGCCTAAGTTGGGAGAAGAGGGTCAGAAGACACAAAAACACTTCTTGGACAAGGACCTAAAAATAAAACTCAATCTAACAGGGTCTTGGGGTAAATACCACAATGATCTATCATGATGACAGTACCCAGGACTTGGCCTGCAGTAAACACCACCACGCATCATAAGAGGATTTGCTGCTGTTTTTGTTTCGTTCCTAATAAAAGAACAGACTAAATACAACTAGGCTGGAACCCTACCTTCTCAACTAACATAGCCAACTCAAAGGGGCACAGACACTGACTCTGCCTGAGGACTCTTTTCTACACTTGAGAAAGCCCGTCTTGGCCCCTTGTGGCCTGAAACAGGTTGAAAAGAACACAGCACGGCACAGTCTCATTGAACTCTGACCCAGGTCTGGTTCCACTAATCTCAGGGCAGGAGAGGCAGGCATTTGGTCACATACCTGTGTTGTAGCTGTGATGGACAGAACAAAGGTGGGAACTGTGGAGCAGCTCAGGTTGAGAAGACGACCCTGAAAAAGTAAGAGAGCCCTGGGTGAGCTGTGCTCCCCCTCCGTCTGATTCCAGTGTCATACAAGTGAAGCAGAGCAGAATAGGACTCAGTCGGTACAGAAAGAATTACAGTTCCACATCAGGCCTCTAGATTTTATCTTATTTCCCGTAAGCCCGTGTGAGTATGACAAGCTGAAGCAGCCATGGGAGTCAGGAAATAGTGTATTACTTGGTAAAAGGTAGATCTTTTTTTGAGTGGTTCTATTTTAGGGACCAGAAAGTTTAAGAACTAGATCTCTATCTAGAGATGGAGTTCAGGAAAACCTGGGCCCAATGCTTTCTCCCATCTCCCCGCCCTCCACCATGGATCTAACGACATTGCCCTCCCGTGTGTGTACCTCTGCCAGGAGGACAACGCGTTTGCCATCTGGCCAGATGACATGGTCCACCTGAGAGCGCACGCGCTCCCATGTCAGCTCTGGAGTACGCAGGCTGGTCTGAAAGGAAGATGGCACAGTTGACGGCGGCTACAGTGGAAAGGAGGGGAAAAAGGCCTTGCTTGCAGCAAATCAATGAGGGAAACCTTACCACATCAATTTCTGTGTTGGAGTGGCCCATATTGCATACGATACAGCTGTTTTTCATGCGGTCCAAATGCTCCCGTGTCACTACATTCTTATTTCCTAAAGGTAAAGGAGAGCAGCCAAAGAAAGATGCTGGGGGACGAAGGTACCTGGCTTCCCGTGAGGACATGGGAAAAGAGGATGCCTGCTGCACTGAAGGGAATGCATCCTTTATGAGAAACAAGTACACTGCGTAACAGCTTTTTACACTCAGTGATTTGGTTTTAAGATTCAACAGTATAAATCACCTTCAAGAAAAAAGGTTCTTGGTTCTGGAAAACATATTAAGGTTCCGATAGCTTATTCTGGTTCTGAGACTTTTACACCGAGCACAGGTCTCACCTACTTTATCTGAAAGACCACTTTCAAGATTTGGCCTCAGAGCTACCAGTCCTCCATGTACTACACCAAGGCACTGATACTTACCCGTGCAAGTTATTACGACATCAACTTGCCGGATGACTTCATTTAGCTTTACCACCCTGAACCCATCCATGCTGGAAGGAAAGGAAGGAACACAATGAGCAAAGCAAGGAGGCAGTGGCATAGAGGCTGGTCACAAAATGAGACCAGAGAAATTCCCTTCTGAAGGCGGGTCCAGTGCTATCTCACGGGTAAGTGACAAGCTGTTCTAAGCTACACACTGGCCTCTTCGGACTCCCCGAGATTCCAATCAGGAAGGGAAAATGCCGAGAAGCTCTAGGAGTGCCCTGGGCTTACAATGGAGGGAAGAGCCATCCTCCTAGCTTTCTCTTCCTTTAGAGAGATTTCTGCAAGGAACGGTTAATATAATCAATCATAAACTCTCAGAAACACTAAGTACCAGGGATGAATCTAACAGTATTACCATCCTGTTCTTACCAGGCCTGCAGAGCACAGATGGGGTCGATTTCTGTGATGTAGACAATTGCTCCAAGGGCCTTGAGAGCAGCACAGCAGCCCTTTCCCACCTGCAGAGCATAAGAAAGAAGTAGGGGTGTCAGGTCATTTAAGGCATGGGTAGGGGGCATGTGGCTATTTGGGAGATGGGAATTAACCTCCCTGAAATCACCAATGCTCTATTGAGCCCTTGCAGGGATGCTCCAAGCCAGGCAGAGCATAAACAAATCCAGATTATGCTGTGACCCTCAGCCAGAGAGGTGATCTGACATTCATATTTCACAGCAAGGGCTGGGGCTCGGAATAGTGAACGAAACTGGGAGATCGAATAAGTATTACCATCAGGAAAACAAGACCAAGGAAGAGCAATTGTAACCTCTCATAGCTTGTTCCAGAAAAACCTGATTAACTCTCATTTAAGATGCATCGAACTCTAGGACAGCCCAGCAGTTCAAGAACCTCCATGGGTCACTGATGACAACAGTCTCCTTCACCTAGTCTAGTTTAGGGATCATCAACTATGTACCACCTCGGGTCCCACCCTTCACTCCAGTCCCAGGTCACTTGTGTGGCTAAAATGCCACATGTTCACTTGAAGTCAGTCTCATGAAAGGTAACTGTTATCATGGTGGAGGGAGGGGCGGGGCTGCCAACATGCCGTTCCACAAGATAGTGTGGTGACATCTGAAAACTCAATGGATTTTGTACATCTCTATTCATAATTCTGAATAAAGCACTTCTGCTACGGAGATACATTATCTCGAAGCGTATTTTAACCCCGTGTCAGTGACCACACTGACAGCATGGATTGCCTTCACTCCACATTTCTAGAAAGTCTATGAAAAGACACTGAGACCCAGCTATTTACCTCACCATAGCCACACACCACCACTTGTTTCCCACCAAACATCACATCTGTGGTCCTCTTCAGGCTGTGGAAAACAGATAAGGGCTCAACTTAAACATTATTAGCCCAGACACAGTCCCTCTGCACAAAAGCAAAAGTGTGAGGCAACGCCCCATGAGAACTCCAGCTGGAAGCTGGCTGGGCCCAGTATGACAGGAGCCCCTCTAACGAACCTTTAACGCCAAAGGAAGACGACAGGAAGACCACGGGAGAAGACCAGGAGTGGTTTCAGAACAACACTGTGACCCAACCCAAACCTGTCCCCTCGGAGTCTGGTATCTGTGCGTTTCAACCTACCCGTCCAAAATGGACTCTCGGCAGCAGTACAAGTTATCAAACTTCTGTTTGGTCACAGAGTCATTGACATTCATGGCCGGAACACAGAGCTTCCCAGCTTTGGAGAGCTGATACAGCCTAAAGGGAAAAGAAGCCACAAAAACAAACAAAACCGAAATTACTACCCGGCAAAATCTGCCTAATTCTCTTCCAGCTCCATGCTGCCCCCCACCCCAGCTGTATTTATTGCCCAAGGATATCAGTAAGCAAGAGCATTTCCTTGTCCTCACCTCTTTTCATTTTCTCTCCCCTGGGCCCCCGCCCTTTTTTTGGAAGGGGAAAAAAAACCCTTTCAATAGAAGAAATTGACTTCTCTTCCATAAAAAGGGATGTATTTCCTTAGACCAGCATTTTCTTGATAAAAAAAACAAACAAACATGCCTACTTCTGATAAACAAAGATTATCAATGACTCTGATTCGGTTGCTTATGTGTGCTTGTGTGAGCATGTGCAGTGTGCCCACAACGGAGAAACACTCTTCCAGAAAGAGATCTTTTAGGGTTTTTGACAAGCCAAGAATATTTTGCCCAGTTTTACTTTTTGTAGTGTGTATAATATATAGTTTTACAATAGGATTCTTTTTCGTATTTCAAATATAAAATTTTAATACAATATTGAATACAGTTTTCCAGATACATTCATTCTCTACACCTCCCAACACTGGTTGAGACTCACAGTGGAATAAGTGGGAAAGAAAAATGTGAGAACTAGAACCTGAAATAACTTCCTTTTAGGATCTCCTGGATTCTTCAGAAGTAAAAACGGAGAAGTTTTATCTAACGAAGGTACTCCCATTTAGTTACATGTCTGAAACATAGCCCTCAAGCCTAATGGAGACCAGGAGAGTTTGCTGAGGCAAGGACACAAGGGGCAGCTACTCCAGAATCTGTTACCTGTGAACACCAGTCACGCTCTCTTCCACAATGCCTCGGATCTTCTTAAACACGTTTGGATACTTCTTATAAACCCAGTGGGTTAAGTCTCCCCCATCATCCAGGATCTACAGAACAGCCAGAAGACTTCTATGGGCATTCAGGCTGCTAGAGCTGGGGGGGAACTTTGAACCCACTTTCTGTACTAGTAAGAGAGCCCTGTATGTTTTGGAGGAGCACTCCTCAGAGCTCCTTAGAACAGGTTTAGACAGTGGAAACACAGTCAAATCCGTTGGTGTAGAATGGTTAAAAGGATTCCTAAGTTTGTTCTTGGCTATAGTGAAGAGTATTAGGCTAATCATAGACTCATTTTTAGTCTAGAGTCTTGAAATATATAGCTCTGTGGGATGCAAAAGGCGAGCTGGGGCAGGAAGGAAAGAAACCAGAATTCTACTCCAAAGAGGAACCACATTATTTCTTTCTATTTCATTCTGTTGTGTTTGAGCCACAAGTGTTCACTTTAGTTTTACCCTTCCCCCACCTTTCCATTCAGTACTCAGACCCATTCTGAATAGGTATTGAGCTAAACACTCTGACAACAAAGTAAGTGTATCAGAACATACATCCAAAACATATTTAGGGAACCATGCTTTGAGGGAAAAAAGGAAACAAATCTATGGTCAGAGTGTGGGATGAATATACATCATTACCATGTTAGCTTGCCAACCATCCATGTTCACACAGCGGTCAATACACCACCAGAAGTCATCTTCTGACTCGCCCTTCCAGGCAAACACTGCAACTCCTGTGGGGATGGGAACAAATCAGCTCATTCCTCCTCCTGGGAGTCTGCTATCCCAATACTACTTTCTGAGATCCATGTGAAGAGTAAAAGGGCTACAGGAACTATGTTGGACAGGAAACAACTTCAAAAGGGCAGAAAGTCAAAATGGCACCTGTAGCTCAGAAATCGGTAACAAATTTAAGAGATTTTTGTTTTTTTAGAAGTATTTTGGAACCTTAAATTGTTACTCTCTTTCGTCAGTTTTATACTTGGAACTCTTAATAACCTAAGGAGATAAAGTGAAATGGGAATCAAAATAAAGTTGTTCACTAGAACATTATTTGTATTAGAAAGAATCTTGGAACAACCTAAATGGTCAACATGAGTAAAATAATGAAAAAAAATCATGTGGCCGTATGATTATTACAAATGATGCTTTCAAGAAGTTTTCAGGGACATGGAAAACTACTTCTGAAAGTGTTATGTTTTAGGTTATAAATTATATATTGAGACTTATTTATCTCTGTAAAAAGTGAATAGAAAAAAGGAAAAATGTGTAAAATATTATCCCTGTGCAGTAGGATTATTATTATTATTATTTGGAAATTCCTAAATTTTCTGTAATGAACACCAGAAAAGAACAAGAAAATCAAAAGTATTATAAAGTTGCTCTCTGAGGATCCCAGGGAGATGGTAAGTCCTTTAAGAAACCTCACAATGATTTTCTTCCGAACATTTTTACAGTAAAAACTGTTTCAAGCTGAGCTGAACTTTACAAGTAGTCCATATAGTTTCAATACAATATTGAACACCAAATTTTCTAATGAGCTACTAGTACTAAAGGCACTTCTTACTTGTGTGCCCTCAAAAGCGATGAGCCTTTGGTGAAAAGAGATCAGCTGAACTCCTATACCTCATACAGTTTAATATTCCTCCTTGTTCACTTACCATTAGAATTAAGCATCTCCCCATATAATTAAGATTCTTTTCAAAGGTCATTCTTTATGACCGTATCAGGGATATGGACCTTCCTTTTATTACCCATTTTCTTCCTGTTGCTATTCTTATTACCCTCCAACGTTTTAAGGCCTCTAGACAAACACGTAACCATAAAGACAGTTTTGATACGTAAATATTTTACTTAGATAATTATTTTGAAGCACAGTTGGTGAAAAAGGCTAAACTTACCAGCCTCGGCCAGGGCCGCAGCCACTTCGTTCTGAGTGGAATAGATGTTGCAAGCAGACCAGCGGCACTGAGCCCCCAGGGCACAGAGTGTCTCAATCAACACCTATGGAGACATATGGGAGGACAGAGTGAGAGAGAGGAGGGCTGGGTAGGAGCAGCACACAAGGGGACCATGCCCAGCAACTCTGCAGCAACTAGTGCTACACTGGGAAGTTGTAAGAGGGTATGGTCCAGTGAGGGAGCCCACTGCTATCTAACTTTACCCCAAAGATGTGTTCCTAAAAGTCTTAACATCTTCCTAACAGTTGTATTTTTGCAGATCTAGATCTCCCTGAGTCAGGTTTGTAAACATACGTTATAACTATACACACAGAGTAGAAAACCCCATTACTGTGTAACAGGAGGTCCCACCTAATAGTCATTAGCATTTGGAGATTGGATAGATACGGAAGGAAAAGCAAATAAAAAAAAAGTTTATTTCTCCCCCTCATCAGAAGTCCCTCTTTAGTCTCCCAGCAAACTCACCGCTGTCTGGGCTGTGATGTGTGTACAGCCCACTATTTTAGCACCAGCCAAGGGCTTCTCCCCCTGAGCACGTTTCCTGAGTGAAATCAGAGCAGACATGTCTGTGAAAGAACAGAGGATTTGAGCTAGGTCTGCACTAGCAGTATTATCAATTTCTGCCCCAGCAACATCTAGGGGTGGTCTGGATCTGTTGAGATATTGCAAGATAAGGTAGAAACACCAAATAAATTTCCATGATGACTGGCGGCTTCAACAGCAGAAAGACAGTTGGGGAGTTGTTATCCAACCGCTTGGAAATTTCTCTCTTCCTGCAGAGGACTGAACAGAGAATGAATTCTCACATCTGGTCAAAATGGAGAGTGAGTCTCATCATTCACTTGGGAGGAGGGAAGTGGTTATGGCATTGGCTAAAGGACTCCTAATCATCAAACCAGGAAGGAAGTCTTCACCCTCAGCAGAAGAGCACTTGCTTTTTTTCTATGCAGCCTAACCCCATTCTGTCAGTCTGTTTGGTTTAGTACTTACCCCCAGCAGAGAGCACACCTTTAGTGTGAAAGTAACAAGAGTAAAAAGACCTTATCAGGAGTGGGGTGGGTGGGGAAAACCAAGATTTAACGGACTGTCAGTCACTTTCACTCTTGCTCCAGCAGAGGGTGCTAAGGACCAAAGACCAAAGAGACACTGCTCACTACATCCTTAGCTGAAAACCCTCCCATATCTGCTGCTTCTGGAAAATGTGGGTCTCTGAGATTGGCAGCTGTGGTAGAATCCCGCAGAACTAACCACCATGTAGTGATCCAGGACTTGCTGAGTCCACAAGGAGATCTCCGAATATGGTGTCATGGGGGAGGAAAACAGAAACTACTCTGTGTAATTACTACGTACTGAGAACAGGAAGCAAGGAGAACAAGAACAAGAACCCTGAGGCTCAAGCTGCGCGCAGAGAGATCTGCTTATACAAGAGCCCAGAATGTTGAATTTTTCAAGGCGACTTTCAAGTGTCAGGTTGTCTGTGGATCCTGATGACCAGCTAGCGGGTTGCTTCTGGTCCCTTACCCACTCCCTTTCTTTACCTTGCTCTGCAATCTCAATCTCCCGGCGTCCAAATTCTGCCTGCTTGATGTTCTTCACACAGAAATTGCTGCTGCCCTTGGAGTTGGTCTGCTGTTTCTCTCGGGGGGAAACCTCATCATCAGAGCTATCTGTGTAGGATGCGGCTAGAGCCAGGAGAGAAAAAAACAAGGACAGAAAATCCTCAATGGCCCCAACTCCACAGAGTGTACTCCCCAAAGGACTCTCACTTAAGTTAAGCAGACTCAGAACTGGAGCCACCTTTTACACCACTCTCAGGTCTCCCTCCTCAGAGTCTAACGGATGAATGACATTGCTGTGGATCTCTCAGTGTCGGAGCCCTTTCTTCCAAGCTGATGATACTCTGCCCTTAGTCCCTGTAACGGGAAGCTACAGAGCCCACTCCTGCACCAGCTCGAGGGATCTCAGCTAACAGGGGCACTGGGTCCCAATGTGGATTGGAACGAGACATGGCAAAGATGGAAGAATACTTTAGGAACACCACTGCTGTAGAACACTGGTTCTCAAACGCAAGCATCTACAGCATTCATCAGAATCATGTGGAAGGTTTGTTAAAATACAAACGGCTAGGCCCCACCGCCAGAGGTTCCCAGTCGGCAGATCTCGGGTGGCACCCAAGAATTAGCATTTCTAACAAGCCCCCAGCTGCTGCTGCTCTTGTCCAGAAGACCACACTCTGAGAACTAGTAACACGGATGACAGTGCTAAAAGAATCTTATAAGGGGTTTTACACTAGGCTGTGCTCAAGGAATACAGAGATGGAAAGAAACGACTCAAAAGGTGAGTGAGTAGCTCTGGTTCTACTGCCAGCCCTGAGATCACTCGGTATGTTCAACTTTAAAAAAACTAGCTTTACATAAAGGCTAAAAATGTCCTTTCAGATAGATGTGCAGGGGGACATAGAGTAATCACTCCCCTACTCTCAAATCACTTCTTTCCTCTCTGAATCAACGAGTGGTTCCTGATCTGTCTGTCTGTGCCAGTGTACCAGGTCTCTCTCACTGTCTTCCACACACTGCTAGCCAACACAAATACTCCCAAAGTATCTGTCTCACCAGACAACTGAACTAGATCACAAAATTTTTTTAAAAAAATGCTCTGATAAGCTCCTGTTAATACATGGACATCAAGATTTTTGAGAACTTTGCTAAAGCTTTCTTCACTCCCTCCTTCCATCTTCCTCTTAGAGCCCAGCTTTTCACAATGAATTCTCTCTTTGCTGGAATCGGTCTGCTTATCACTCCTACTCTTTCGTATCTGTCACTTCAAAACACCTTTTATTTTTGACAGCCATTATGTTTTGAACCTCTTCTTGCACACATGCCACAGTGACTCTGAATATTCATTTATTTCAGTACTTAACCCTATAGACCACCATTTGCTCTTATCTGCTTATCTTATCCATGCTGGGTTATCAGTGGCACCGAGCAGAAGACACTTTTTTTTAAAAAAATGCATTTACTTTAAAAAAACAAAAACAAAAAAACAAAAACAATCCTTTCCCCGCAAGTCCAGTCCTTAATGTTAACAACACCGTATAAACAGTATTCTGGAGAAGTCATTTATGGAGATGGCAAATCTCTTTGCTGAAACTAATAGCAATCTATGACCTTGGGCCAGCCTCTTAAACTCTTAAATGTTTCCTCAGTTGAACAATGGGGGTGGGGTTATATCAGACGCCCCTGTGGATCATCCAGTGTCTACTCTGCTAGTACTCAAATCATAACTTCTACATCCCAAACCATGCTAACTTTCCGGTACTCCATGTAAAGGTGAGGACACATTTAAAAAAAAAAAAAAAAAAAAAAGCCTACTTATATAGGATCAAATTAGGAGAGGACTAAAAAGAAACAGAGCTGGAGCCACATTATCATAGTTGAACCTCTCCTACTCCAGAGGTGAACAGGGGAGGGCACTTCAACATAAAGGGTAACCTAGCAAATAAAAAAGGAGCCAAAATACTCATTCTTCTTGTTACCATTCAAGCAGTCTTAGAGCCAAGAAAGAAAAAGACAGGTGGCAGGGTATATCTTAAACAACAGAGTTGGAAATTATGCTTCCAAAGTACACCTCTTTTTCAAGGCCAGTTCCATCAGCCAAAATAGAATTGATTTTCTCCCTTTGTAATGTGGGTGGAGAAACGTGGGAATGGGAACCGGCCCAGCACTAACAAGCAGGCACTGGCCACAGACCACACACAGAGACAGCCAGGGGAAGAGAAGTCTCCAGATGACAAAAGCCTCCCCAGCTACAAGCCTGACTGAGGACATTCCCATTGCCCAAGTGCTAATTATCAGCTCTCAGCAGAAAGATGGGAAGTACTTTCAGATTCTAGGTAAGTGAAGTGCAGTGGGCAGAGAACTAGCTTAAGACTCTGGAACTGGGAAGGGAGATCAGAGTGGACATAAGTTCACACCTACCTGAACTGTAGCTGTCCGTGGAAGACTGGGAGATGGAGCGAGACAAAGATCGGCGGCCTGTCTTGGTGGGGAATTTGGTGAACTCCTGCATGTCATCAGCAAACTGGATTTGCTGTAAGAGGAAGACGAACAGTTGAAAATTTACAACAGGCATTCTATGAAATGTTCCATTTTTTAAGGCCATGTATTTCCTTCCCTAAAACCCAATGTTATTATATAGTTCCTACAAGCCAGCAATTCTCAGACTAGAGTGAGGGTGGGCGGAAGTTACTTGCTGACTCCTCCCCAAATGCCAATTACTGCCTCTTTCCAATTGTTGTAGAATTTTGGGTTGGGGGTGGGGGCGCTCAAGACTGAACTTCTTTCGGCATCTGTCCAAATTTCACAAATCTTTCTTCTCACATTCCATGAAGTTTTCTTTCCTCTTACAAACTTGACACATTAGGCTCTTTACCCTTCCTCCCAACTCTACTAAAAAAACACAAAATCTCATAGTGCTTCTGCTTTTTTTTTTTTTTTCCCAAAGGATTCTCTTGAAGCACATTCTTATCCTGAAATTAGCAATGGTCTTGTTGTTTGAAGAAAATTATGGAGCTGCCTTGAAATAGTGACAGGCACTGGGGTGCCAAGTCAGAGTCCAATGATAGCTATACTTCACAAAGCCATGCAGAACTTTCCACATCCAATAAAATACTGGCATACAATAAAGCACGCAAAATTCAAAAAAATATATGCACTCCACAGTAAAATCTAACTAATTAGGACTAATTTGAAGGAGAAAATAAATGACTTGGTAAACTCTGTATTAAAAACTTCGTTAAATGAAATACACTAGAAGTAGGTAATTGTTTGAAGGATACTTGGAAAATTGGCTTTAATAAATGGCAAATACCTTATAATTAATATAACTTAGAAATTAATGGATGCTTCTAAAATGTATGAAAACATTTTCTTCTATTAAATGATTTCAACCTTCCTCCTGAATGCTCTCTTTAAGCTCTGATAAACCCTTTAAAATACAAAATAAACTTCAGCCTCCTGAAAAACAGAACGGTTTGAGACTATGAATTGAGATTCTCCTCACAATCTGACTAAATCTGAAAAGGTTCCCATAGAGAATTCATTAAGCTAAGTCTTTAGCAGATAACTCTGGAAATATAAAAGCTATTACAGATTAAAATCTTCTCCCCATAATGCTAGCAACATGGGTATAGCCACTCTGAAGCCAGAACAGTAAACTGCTTGTTTGTTATAGCGGCAGTATAAGAATCAGGCGTAAAAGTGCAACACAGAAAAAGAACTCAGTAAATAAAAAGCACTCGGTCTAAACAACATACATGGCACCAGAACTTGATTAACAAGTATCTTTATACATCCTAAGCAGCTTTTTTAGTTTAGTTGCTAAAACTTAAATAATTTAAATGCCAAAAGCACAGTGCCTTTCAAAGCAACCAACCAACCAACCCACCCCACTCTTTGGGGGCACCTGCGTGGCACATTTGGTTAAGCAACCAACTCCTGCTTTCGGCTTAGGTCGTGATCTCGGGGGTCATGATCTCAGGGTCATGAGATGGAGCCCTGGCTCCATGCTCAGCATGGAGTCTGCTTAAGTTTCTCTCTCCCTCTGCCCCTCCCACCACATGCTCTCTTTCTCTCAAATAAATAAATCTAAAAACAAAACAACAAACCCACTCGTTGAAGTGGCCACAGGTCAGCATGTGCCCTTCAAGAGCGGATTTCCCACTGAATGTTCACATGACTTCTGCAGTCAGCAAAGCCAGTTTTACTGAAGAGATTTATCCAGGACCAAGGTAATGACTTTCAAAACCAATATGCAGTTCTTTTGGTGGGAGAAAAAGTACAGTCAAGAGACCATCAATGCTTTTTAACACTCTGCAGAGGCAGCCCTTCCTCCATCAGCCTCCTTGTTCCTGGCATGGGCAGTCTAGTCGGAAGCTACTCTTTTCTCTTGGCTGTTATGATTCCCTCCCCTGTTCATCTTTTTTCAAAAGGCTCTGGGCATATTCCCAGACACCACCTACCTGGTGGTGGCGGGGGTGGGGGAGGGAAATGCAGTAACATTCGCAGTTTCTTAAATTAAAAAAAAAAGAGAGAGAGAGGGAGAGAGAGGTGGCTGTGGCAAGATAGAAATGTTTCTGCAGCAACCTAAGAACTGATTTAATAGTCATAATCCTACCTTGTATTAACAAAGCTCATCAGTAGTCTACAGCTTAGCAAAATCTTTCCCATCTAAAAATATTAGGCTGTGTTGCAAGCAGCTTACCGATCAGTGCAGTGCCCCATCTCTCAAATAATGAATACGGGCCATATTTGAAGTGGGCAGATTGTCCATTCAAGCCATGGCATGGATGGGTGGCTGTCTATTCTTGGAGCTCTCTGATATTTTCACTGCTTACAGATAAGGTGGTCCAGCTATACGAAGACGCCTGATCACCGTGTCTTCTCTCCCCTCCCCCGCCAAACTGCATGCTGAGGAGAACCCAGATCACAATTTAGGATCTGCCGGCCGCCAGGCCTGCTTGCTCCAGGGTAGCCTGGCAGCCTGCAGCTCTGTTTTTCTTTTGAAGTTCGGCCTGGAGCTGTTCACCTTCGCATTGTAAACAAAGACACTGCAGTCAAAAGCAGTTTTTGAATATTACCCGTTTTTCCCTCTAGTGAAACCAGATCTTGGCAACAGCCCTCTAAGTTGGGATGGCTTCACCCCACTTACACAAGTATGATCATTTAGGTAAAAACAAAATCCGAAGATGGCTGCGAAGCTGTTCTGTTTACATTACTTCCTATTATCGTCATTTCTTCCCATCATAATTAAGTCTCCACTGGTGTACCTCAGTGTTTCTTCGAAGCTGTATCTTTACGGAAGCCTAGTTCTAAATAGGATGTGGAATGGGAAAGGGGGAGGGAAAAAGAGATAAGGTAGCTGGAACTTCAAAAAGTATCTGAAAATCAAAAAGTCCTATGTTAAAGAACTATTTTGTGTTTGAATACTCACCATCCCATAAACAGACTTACCCACACTAAGCATGCCAGTGTTTCATTCTTGAACTAATATTACATCTGAGAAAGGTTAGAAAGTCAGATTGACCCATTCTCCAAATAGCACATCCAAATACAGAAGTCTGTTTGGCATGCCTTAAAAACTCAATTAAATATCAGGCCAATTCAATGTGCTATTTTAAAGTACCCATTCAAAGGGCTCAGTGGGTACAATGGTTGACTCTCTTCCATGTGACACTGAAAAGGATGAAAAGAAGCTTTCCAAAGAATCTGGGATCTGATGCACCCACCACCTCGTGGGTAAGTGTGGTGACAAGTGAGCTGAAAGAACTGCTGTTTATAATTTATGAAGAAAAAGGGATCACAGGCAACCCCAAAACAGTTATCAGCCTCCAGGGAAGACAAACAGTTTAATACTATTCATTTGATTTATCCCAACTGGTTTTTACCATCAGAAGCTGAAAAGTTTACTTCCACAAACACGTGTTCTACCTACTCAGATGTTAAATAATACCTTAGCCACACTTCCTTCCCAGGTCCCACCCAATCTTGCTCTCTAGCTCCTGAATCCCCGAGAACTGAAAGCCATCAGAATTGCACTATGTATAGCCAAGGGATGATGATCAGGATAATACTCATGGAGTGTTACATTCTTTTAGTCAACACATTTGGGAGGCACCGACTAAGCACCCAGTGCTATTCCAGGGAAGATCTATGAAAGGAAATAAGGGCCCTTATAGTCTATAGATTTCGTCTGACTGAGAGGGTAACCGTAGCACAAATGGCTATCATAGAATTTTACTGCTTCTTGAGGAAGAGCCTAGATATTGCAGTCTTAACAGCCTTCTCTGGATATTGTTCAGCTTAGGCCTCCAAAAATCAGAGGTTAGGCCAGACATCTTAAGAAACTTGTGATTTCACATGCTATCTAGCAGCTTTTAATTTCCTCAGAAAGGTTTCCTCCTAAGGGTGAAGAACAGACTCAAAGGTAAATAGCAATCATTAGGAAAACAAACCATTAAGAAAGCACAGCTTAGAAGTGAGTAGAGGGACTGGTCTATCTTTCTGCTGGGGAGTATGTGAAGGGCCAGTATCCCCCCTTCTGGTACACTACTGATCTTCTGAGGCATTCCCAAATTTATATGATCTGTCCCACTGTCTCCTCCAGCATACGGTATGTGCAGAATTTTCTGCATATTTCTCAGCTAATACTTAGCAACTGTGCAAAAAGATGACTATCGGAAGCTAGAAATTTTAATAAGGTCAACTATTAAGGTGTTGTAACACCTTTCAGGATTCCTACATTTTTCTAATCCCTCTTTCACACATGTTCTGGCTAATAGATTCCTTCCTCTATAGAATCTACTCTCATCTGCTCTCTTTTCAAAGGGAAGGAAGAGGGTATGGCTATCAGCCTAAACAAAACAGGTGCAAGACCTTGCCTTGATACCACTGATCAGTCTGATTTCATTTCAGATGAATCCAAAGAAACAGTTATCAATAAACACCAGTATTTTGGTACAAGAACTATGTAAGTCTGCACACCTATCAGACCTTCAATTAGGTAAAAGAAATTTCCCAAAGAAGAAGGGTATCCTCTTCCCAACACGCTACTCTCAGGTACTCCACCAGAAAATAATTTATCTCAAGGGACTCAATCTCAGGCCACTGAGTTGAATCCACAGCCTCCTTCAGTCACTTCTTCCACTCCCTAGTGCAGAAACCAATCTTCTGAGACTCAGCAGGTTTTGGCTGCTCCCTGTCCTCCTTCCCTGTCTCAAGTTTCTTAAGTTCTCAGTTTCCCCAGATGGGGCCTGAGGTTGGCGGGGGGAGGGTGACAGCAAGCTGACTAATCACAGCACATATCTCCCTCCACCACTCCACCCATCTCTGTCTCAAGGGTAAAAGGATATAATATGCACACGCACGCGCACGTGTACACACACACACACACTGCCAGAACACACTTCTAGAAGAAACAGTCTTTTCAAAAATGGGACTTAACTTGATCTTTCATCAATGCTGGTGGGAGGAAGGGGTGAGGCAACACCAGGGCTCACACTGCCTAGTCACTTAACTGGTGAGGAAGGAACA